TAGGGAAAAGAGAATCATAATGTGCAAACTTTATGAAACCTCGCATGCAACCCGAAATTCTAAATCGTTACCTTATAATTAAGAGTTGAAAAGAAAAATTCTGATAGTCTTCGAAATTTCTAAATTATAACATAATAAATCTTAACAAAATGGTAGGTAAATGCTCTCATAAAAGTGTTATTGATCAACTATTTGCGATTAACATGGCTAAATTCCCTATTATTATTCCTTATGAATAATTGACATGCATCGTTCCGTTCACTTCAAATAATCATAATTTGAAATAATAATAATCAGCAATTAAGAATTTGTGGTAGCGAAATATTTCCATTAAAAAAATATAATTCTTACCAAGGTTGAATATTTTCAATTAAATATATTGTTGCTACTTAAAAGTCTCGTGCTTTTCAAATCCCTTAGACATACGAGAGAAGCATGTGATTATTGAACATGGATGAAATAAGTGAGAAAACAAGCTCGAGCATTACGCGAAGCAACGATCCGTGAAAAAAGAAGAAAAGATGAGAAATATGCGACGAACTAAAGAGAGTTAGATAAATAGAGATATCCAAGAATTATTTCTATGAATATTATAGTATCTATAATCGTGTGATTTTTCTATTAATTTTCAATAAAAACGATCAAATTTCTTCTTTTTGCTATTAAATATCAATAGCACATGCATTTTGTAATATTTTATATTATAAATCTTATGATATTTCCTTTTCTCGACAATCACTGCTGTAACCTAGATTAAATTATCATTTGTAAATTATGTTTATAAATTTTTTTTAGCATTACTTTAATTAACAGAACATTTAATGAATTTACTTAATGCAAGCAGCTTTTTTCTTCACTAAAATACGGCTGAATTACAAAATGATAATCCATAAAATGCGAAATAGACACATGCCCGACTCAACCTGTTCATGGTCGACCGACTCCCTTTCGTAGAAATAATCTCGTGATATACGGTGATCTCTCAAACAATTGAAAATCGTATGATTGATCTGTTGATTCGTGCTCATTCAATAGCAGTCAGTACAATATGTATTTACAGCAGTAAACTGAAAGTTGGACAACAATTTCGTCAACAATTAAATATAAACATTGCCGACTTATCCATCACTCTAATATACTGTTTATAATGTTAAAATGTTTACAAGTATAACTACAGGTAAATTGTATATTAATTTCGATATCGCCATTAGAATAAAAAGCACTCGTATTATAAATAATATAATAAATTGTAGATTAAATAGAATCAAGCTTTTCATTTACAATTTACTTAAAATGTGTACCATACAATAATATTGGACATAGGAGTAATTGGAAAGAGTTAACAATGTCGAAAAAGAGGCAAGTCAACAGGTAGCATCGAAAGATTATTATTTAAAATGCTAATACGCAATGGCATTTTATACACATTTCACAGTGTACCCGCGGGGTACTTTCTGCGTCTTTTTCACCCTTCTGTTTAAAATTGGGGATACCACTTGGCTTCGAATACCATCATTCCTAGTCACTCTCATTTTTTCCTCATACTCCACTCCCTCCTTTATTCCTTCATTTAACTTCCATTACAACGTCATATTCGGCCATATCGGCGACCGGTTCTCGAAAAAAAAAAAATTCCAAACTCATACATTTGTGACTCTGACTCGAAATATCGCACTTTATTTATCAATGTGTACTTTCGTACGTTAACTTTTCGTACCACTTATTTACGCTATTTCCACTTCAGCATAGAGCATACAATTACCACAAATTTTACCGTTCTTTTGCATTCTCTCTTGCGTCATTGCCGCTTCTGTCTGTATTTTCATGGCTGGCGCCGCCCTCGAAACGCGGTTCATCAACTTTGCCTTGTGCAACTGCCCCGTTACTGGACCCTCCATTCCTTTTATTCAATGTGCTTGCTCCTGTCAGCTCTGATTAGGGTTAACAGCATTAGTGATAATTGAATTTCATCGTGCTTAGCTGTACGCTCGGTGAGCAATTTGGGGTACACTCGGGGTTACTCGTTCTTCTGGTTTGGTTTCAACTTTTTACTGTCAAAATTAATGAAACCCTAGGCCAAGGCCAGATAATCGATATCTATCAATCCGAGTTTACTGAAAATCCGCTATTTTTGTTTAATGTTTTATCTTGCGTTACTGAATTGCTCATAAACTCTATCGATTCTCGTTGTCTCTTTCATCAGACATCTGTCACTGCTGCTTAGTCTTTACGTAAACGGTTACCATTTTTATTTCAAATTTTATTCAGCGCTCAAGTTCTTCTGCATACAATGCTTTTAATACGAAGTTTGGGTGACCGTGAGGTATCGTAGGCGGTATCTCCTTAAACGTAACAGATGTCGTGGGATGTGGCAGAGGCCCTGTAGTTTTTTAAAGTATTATAATAACACGATATTCCTCAATATTCTTATAACAGATTGTAGAGAGTTTATTAGAATTACATTAACCTTCAACTGATATTAAAACTCCAACTTTTCTAAAAAAAAAAAAAGTATTCGAATTGTTTGAGTAAATAAAGGATTAAATATTTATACCGGTCAATACACACGCAAACACATTCCCACACATACATGTATATATATATATATATATATATATATATAAACCTTCAATTGATATTAAAACTCCAATTTTTCTAAAAAAAAAAAAGTATTCGAATTGTTTGAGTAAATAAAGGATTAAATATTTATACCGGTCAATACACACGCAAACACACTCCCACACATACATGTATATATATATATATATATATATATATATAGATAGATAGATAGATAGATAGATAGATGGATGTAGTAATTTCAACTCGAGAATTATTTTTTACGTAAATTTGGAATTAAATATTCCATCGTATTGTAAGGAAAACTTGGGAATTAATAACACTTTATATGGGAATATCGGATGTATTCAATATGTTTAAAGTCGATCTACTGTATTTCAAATTAAAACTGTATAATCTGCATTATAGGTAGGATAATTTTCTCCCAAGTATAATCGCATAAAACGAAAAACGTTTTCAAATGTACTTATCTATGTAATTATCTCATAGAGATCGTAGTAATTTTATCCCATGAATTTGTTATTGGTTAGTTTGTGTAATATTTAAATTTTGGCTCTCTTGCTTTCTTTTAAACGTTTTTCTGTTAATTATATTATTAGTAAATTACAAAAAAACTATTCTTGTACGGGACGCTTAAAAATTTTCGACGGATTTTTTTTTTTGTAAGAAAATAATTCATTTAATAGCACTTATGTGATGGTAATTTCATATTTAAGGTCAGAAATAAATATTTATCAAGGGAAAATATTTTTAAATTAATAATAACTTATACAATCTCAATGTATGATTTTAAGAGCTTTGTTAAATATTATTGCATATCTTTGGAATATAATAGAAAAATTGAGAAATTCCATTACATTATTTAAAAGTACAAAGAAAATTTCAATGATTTAAAATAATTTATTTCTGTGCATCATTGTTTATTGTAATGTAAGATATTCAAGATTTCAATAATAAAAGCTTCGCATAATAGATATATTTACGATACGCAAGGGAGCTCGAAAATTTAATGAACTTTCTCGAATAAGGTATTATTATTCTAATTTTAAAATGCAACAACACTTAAAATTGCTAACAAGTGCAACATTTTATTATTGTTGTAAGTATTGTTTTTATAAAAATTTAAACTATAATTTTTAATAAATATTAACAAGCCCGTGAAATAATATTAATTAATAATTATTAAAAAAAAAAAAAGTCTATATTCTTTATAATTTGAAACTAAAATTTGAAAATATTTTATTTTAAGAATAAAATAATCCGTATACCACAATAAATATTTATTTTCATTGCATGAAGAAAACATTGTTACGTAAAGATTTAACTACTTCGTAAATTTATCTCAGTACTACTTGCTTCTTTCACGTATATGCTGTCCCATACAGTTTATCTCGATTATTTTTAAAAAGTCCGAAGCAAATACGAATACATTGAAATTTGTATTTAGAAGATTTAGTTTCATTACGTATCACTGTATGTATATACACTTTCATAGAATCAATAAGCTGTTGAATAATAAAATAAGCAGTTAAATTAATGGATAGCTTTATGAGATCCAGGATAAACATTTCCAGTCATTTACAACATAAAATTGTAGAATTATTTCAGGTTAAATCTAAAAATACAAATGTTTCGATGCAGTAAAATTCGAAATATTCTAACCTAATTTTTTTGTACGATATAAGTTTAAAAATTATATGATAATATTTTGATGTTACAAGTTTCTAAATAATATATATATATATATATATATATATATAATACGAATTGGTAATATTTGTCTTCTATATAATTATATATTATGATGTTCAATTGCATACAAGGGATTTACAAAATAAAGGAACAATCGTATGATATTGTCAGGACACTTCATCGTTACTACATTGCTTAATTTATATTTTTATACATTAATATTAATTTATTTAATTGCATCAAAGACTTGTATATTCATACAAGTACATTTTTCTATTGCAATTTATATATAATAGGACTTAAAAATTTATGAAGTTTTAGAGTCAAAATTTTTATTATTTTTACAGAGTAATGATGTTGTTATTGAAATTAAAAAACGTTATTAAAATATTTTATATAAATATATATATAAACCATCTAGAACGTTAGATAAAATATTTAGAAATTTATATCCGACTAGTTTTATATTTTTAAGGTTAATTACCTATTTGGTTTAAAAATTCCTCGCTTCATCAAATTAAAAGATTAAACTTCACATTTACATTATTTATAAAAATATTTTATTTTATTTATTTGAACTTTGATGTTGTCGGATATTACAGTTTTCATACGTGTTTTCATTTAAAAGCAAATGTTTATTAATTTTGGTAATCGTTTTCAAGGAAATAATGAAATTATAAAATAAACCCAAAATTATTATTAAAATATTTTAAAGCAATTTTTTGTTCTAAATGCAAGATTTAATTATTAATTGTGGGAAATGTTGATGCTTTTGATTCTTTGATTTTCGTACAAGGCTACATATTTTTAGGTCATGTGGCCATTATTGCTCGAAGTCATTGAAATTGAAAATACATGCTCTCTTGTTCATTGCTCACGCACATATCGTGACAAACTGGTTTCTGAAATTCTTTTTCCATGAAGCTAAACCTTGCGACTTCGCAATATACTAGCGTTTTTTGACATACTTTCATGAGGATGGAACAAGCGATATGTACGTAATCAGTTCAATTTTAAATGGGTCAATTGTCTATACGTCGCATCGACTATAAATATTATTTATACGCTTTATTTAATTAATGAAGATATTTATATTTTTGTAGAACTACATTCTATAGTAGAATCTTAATGTATTGGCTTTTGTTTTTTAATTATTATTTTACTAATGCCCAACCATATCTTTCTAAATCATAGTAAATTCTGCTTATAAATTCTTCTCTCAATTCTTTCGCAATGGAAGTTGGAATATAACGATTGTTCAATGAAAATATAAATTGGGAGGCAATGGATGATTGATTGCGTCGCGTCACTTTAGTTCAACAAATGCGGCAATGAAGATGACGACGGTATCCTTTAAGTCATAAGAGTATCCTGATTATTTCAATACACAGTCAGCACCAAACCATTACGCATATTATCATTTAGATAGATATAAGTTGAGTTCTGCGTAAATTTTGTATGAAATAGAATTAGACATTGTAAAAAAGAATACATTTGTAGAGATACAGTGTATTTTTACATATGTGTGTGTGTGTGTGTGTGCGTGTGTGTGCGCGTGCGTGCGTGCGTGTGTGTGTATTTAATGAAATTTTGTGCCATGTTTCATAAAGAGATAAATAAAGTATAAATAATGAAGAATTTATTTTGTAATTTAATAAGGAAATATATATTGATATACTCGAAATATATGTCTCGTTATAGTTGTTAAAATAATGAGATTTTTCATAAAATACATATGTTAAAGCACAAATGCCAATAAGCAGATTTTTGCAATATTATAAACTGAATTTATCATCAACTATGTAAAATTTTTACAAATAATTAAATGAGCATCCATCCATTAATATAATATGATGTGTTAAATTGATTAATTTTGTTATCAATTTTGTTATCAATGCACTTATTATGAATATATCAGTAAAAAAAATTTATATAAAATAAATGGTGATAATACGATTTGATATATTATTAAATCAACAAATAGTATAAAAAATATATTCGGATAGATTCTTCGTTATTATCTTTTATCCAAATGAGCAATATCTTCCAAATATCATTATACATATAAAATAATTTGAACGATAAGTAAAAGCTTTCATGCGAACGAGCTTTAATTCACTTATTCGGTTAGTTATTCAAACTCATTCCCTTTAATTTTTAGTACACCGGCATATGATTACGCGCCAAATCCAGATAAACAGTGGATTCTACAGGTGACGCAAAAAATGCTGCCAATTCACAAACAATTTACCGATCTTCTCATGACAAAGCGACTTCAAACTCTCCAAAGCGTTGACTCTGCCGTTGAAAGAGTAAGTATCGTTATGCATTCGTTTACGTACATTTATTCTTTTT